GAGTTCGTTCTGCGGCGGCCTCCAACGCGTCGTCCGTTCGACCGAAAACGCCTGGAACCTCAACCAGAGCGCCGCCACGGTTGTCCTCGCCCTCGTCAGGCAGTGAGGGGACACAACGACTGCACTGCCGCTTGGAGGCCTCATTGGAGCCAAAAGTTCAATTGAGGAGCTCCGTCTCCGTCTCCGTCTTTGCGTCTCCGTGCGGTGTGGAGTTGGCCGATGGTGGCCTCGTCCCTGGAGAGGTGCGTGCCTGCTCCCACGCCTAGCCGTACCCCCTGCCTTTACAAATGTGATGAATTAACTAATACGCCTGGTCGCATTCCCTCTTCTGGCAACCAGAAAGATGGATGCATGTCTGCTGGGCTGGGGGTAAGTTTGTATATTTAATTTTAATTTTTGGTTTTTCGTTATGCCTTTCCTTCAATAAACAAAGAGAGAGAATGTAATAGCAAAGGTTTTTTATTTGTTTTTATATTTTGGCTGCCGTCACTATATTCACATGGTGGCAGTGGGTGTGGCAATAATAGGACATGTGTATCTATTTTTTTGTAACAGGTTTAAGGTGCCACGCAGCAGGTCTTGCATCTTCTTTTTGTTTCAAACTGAGGGAGGATGTGTTGACGAGGATGACCGCGCAGAGGAATTCTTTACAATATTGTACGCACGTTATATATATATATATATATATACCGTTGGTTTTGGTTCCTGCTGGTTCTCTACTGTTGTATGCATGAATTGCGGTGATGCTGTGAGAAAAGAAGCACAGTGCTGGGCGTTTCAGCGTTACAACTCCCCAATTCACCAATTGTGTTTCACATTTTATTCAAATTTATTGTGCTATAAAGGTTTTGTAAGAGGAACTAACGTTTTGTCAGCCAAAGGCGTGTAGGTAGCGTATTCACGGCTATACTGTGGGCAATTGGGGGATGCGGAGCCCAAGTTCCACTGGGATTGTCAGGGCAGACGGTGAAGGTTTGGGGATCAGCCACAATCCTGATGAAGGACAGGTGCAGCATTCATTGCAAACCGTGCTTCGAGCCGAGGCCGCGTACCTCCCTAGAGATACTTCTCCCTCCATTGGCGCACGGGCCCAAGGTTCTGACGTGCATGGGCACGTAACACCCGTTGAGGAACATGCACCTTACGGAGGCACTGGGAACGAGACGCCGAACGCATCTTCTTTATTGAAGGCAATTTTAGGACTGTGGCCACCGCTGCATGAATTTCCGCGGTGGTATTGGTCTCGACTAACAGGCTACGATCGATCTAAGAAAATGTTTGGTTTTTTCCTTCGTGGGATTTATTGGTGACCTTTGTTTTTACCTGTGTTGCGATGGTTGTATTGGCGCTCATCGAGTTTTACGTGCTTCATTTACATCTAACTCACCTGAGCATTTTTCTTCCCTCTTTTGGCGCCAGTGCCACTATCCTTTTCAGTGTTCCTGGCGCTCCGGTGGCACAGCCCCGTGCATTATTTTTTTCTCACATCACGGCAGCCATTATTGGGGTTTTGTTTGCGAATATTTTTCAGTTTTTACCTAGCGAAGCGTTTGGATTTAAATGTGCAGCAGCCGTAGTGGTTGGCCTACACCTTGTGCTCTTGTGCGTAACGAATACATTTCATCCTCCTGCGAGTGCGACATGTGTGTCGGCAGCTCTTGCACCACTTAATGCGCATTATCATGATCAAGGATTTTTATTTGTCTTGTTGCCCGCTCTTCTTGGTTGTATTGTCTTGTTTTTGTGCGCGTGGATATTGAACAATTCGCTATGTAGTCGTTCTCCATACCCCAGGTATTGGTGGTGATTGCAGGCATAAAATGTGGTCAGCGATATTTAGAACGCTAGGCTCTTTTTTTTTTTTTTTTCTGCAGGCTTCTTTATTGCTTTGGTAGCCGTACTGCACTTGTTTTTCCTTTTCTCCTAGTTTCTTGATTGGAGCTGCTGGCGGCTGCAAGAACCAGAATTCTTTATTGGAGAAGAGCGTGGTATCCATTTTTTTTTGTCCTCCTTCTGAAGTTAGAGGGGGTTCAAACTCCATTTTTTGTTCTTGCTATTGTTGGGGAAGGAGTGAGGGGAGCAAGAGGAACTGCTGTATGGAGCTTTCTATCGGACTTCTTGTTGAAAGCGCTCCAAAGCAGCAACGTTACAATCGTGTGACGCACATTCTCTTTGGTCTTGATGCGAACGTGCAACTTTGCCCAGACACGCGCCGTCGGTTTTTGTCGGCTGCAGTGGAGTACCTTACGAGTGGCTTTAGTGTATGTGAGATTGATCAGTTTCGTCGTTCCTGTGAGGAGCATCCTGATTGGCCTGCGGAGGATTGTGTGATTTCTGCAGCGCAAGAAGCTTCGGTATGTGCACGTGCAGAAGCTGTCTTGCAGTCTGCCGCATCGTGCGTGGAATTGCCATTTATCGAGGATGTTGTTGGTGAATCGCATCAAACTCCTTTGGTGACAATGAAACGAGGCCGTTTAGAATCGAAAGAACTACGTGAAGTACGTGATCAGATGCGGGTGGTGGAAGCTTACGCGGATCTGCGTGACTACGGGGCAATGAGTAAGGCCATGAGTCGTCTTTCAGTATTGGCCTCATCCCTGCATCAAGCAAGTGTTATTTTGAATCGGGTGGAATCCGTCCTTGTTCAGTTGGAGGTTATCCGGCGCAGCGTGGAGCTTTGGCTGGGTGCAGGTAATCTGGAGGCGGTCCGGGGCCTTGTTGGGACCGCTACAGCCACCCTTATGACACAAGCTGCGGAGTACCTCTTGCAGGTACAGGGTTGTGGTCCATCGCCTTTGGCACCACAGCAGCGAAGCGTGGAGAATATGATTTCTGAAATGGAGGAGTACATGCTTTTTTTCTCAATTGCGCGAAGTTTATGTATGTTTGTGGATCAAAATTTTTACGGTTTTGCTTGCGTCTTCACAGAGAAAGGCCTACGAGTCGCGGGGTGGTCCCCTGCCGTTGAGGAGTTCAACAAAAAAAGGAATCATTTGCAAGTTGCCGCGTCTATCGGCGGTGCCGTTAACGCCCTTGGGCCCTTCTCGGGAGGTCACAATCTGCGACAACTTGTCGAGGCGTCGATTACTTCAGGGCCACAGTTGGGGGTGATGGTGTTATTTTCTGCCATTGCGGCGTTGCCACGCGCGGAGGCACTCGAGTTGGTTACCCGAATGGACATTATGTCTCTTTGGGAGGATGTGCCTGACGCCAGTGCACTCGTTCAGGCCTTACAACTAGCCAAATGGGGAGTATTTTTCGATGTTGCCTCCGTGCTGAACTTTTCATTTTTAAAAACCGATATTTTTGCTTGCAAGCATAGTGAGGTTCTCCACCGTTTGGTCGTACAGTCAGTCGTCTTGGGATACGCCAATGCGTTTTTACGTCTTGACATGAGGAAGGCGGCGGTTCAGTTGTCTATCCCACTTGGAGAATTACAAGAGGTCTTGCGTGAGCTTATTCTAGAAGGGCGTCTTCAGGCGAGGATGGATCTCGTGTCTTTGGTGTTAACAAGTGTCAAGTTCAATAGGGACATCGACAGCTATTCTCCACACTCCTTAGCTCTTTTGGACTGTATTCGTCGGAGCGACATGGCTATGACAGATATTGAGCAGTCGCTTCGTCTTTTGTCAATGCATCGAAATCATGCGTGGCATTGATATATATATATATATATATATATACTTTTTTTATTCATCAGTCCCATGGTCATTTCTCTTCCGGCGAAACGAGAATTACTTAATCTCGTTCGTGGTTATATTTTTTGAGTTTAGAATGAGTTGTTACTTTTTTGAACTTTGTTCGTTCTTTTTTTTTTTTTTGACCTTCCTTTGGTACTTTCCACACCTTTTTTGATTCTTATCGTTTCTGTATCGCAACTGTGGGCGTGTCACGGAGTCCCCTCCTTGCCTTCGCTTCCTGCAGGGGGCGTTGTGGGCTGATGGAGCCCCGCACAAAGGCTCCACGCCATGAGACGAAGGGAACCTCCGTAAACGCTATATTTGCCTTGACAGGTCCAAGTGCCGGTGTGTTGCACATTCGCTCGGACTCGCCCCTGCCACAGGCGGGCACTCTTGATGACGCCGTGATGTCGGTGTTAAATAGCTGCTTTGGGGCGGTGGCAGTGCTGGCAGATCAGTATTGGCGCGCTGCATCGCAACATCACACGTTGTTTCAAACCCCTGATTCTCGAGAGCAGGCGGCAGTCCACCCAGCAGTGCCTTCCACCTCTTTGTTGCTGGCCACAGGAACAGTAAAACGCCCCGACCCAAACAGCATCCCCCGCTCATTCTACCACACAAGACTAGATGCTATCTCGAACCGACGCTATGTGGTTGATCACGGTGCCCTTGTCATTGCGGCAGACAATCGTAGTGGATCTGGAGGGAAGATGTTTAACACGCTACCTCGGCAAGAGTTGGCTTCTTTTGTTGACGCAATCCCGATGTGCCACCAGCGTAACCTCTACGTTTTGGTGGACGAAAACGCCGCAGTGGACCCATTCTTTGATATCGACTGTCCTATACCATTTCCATGGTTGAAGGAGAAGAAGGGAGAAGAGACAGAATTTGACGCAGGGGAGAGACATGGGCCAAGTCCTTTACCGGTGTCAGAGGCGACAACGGCTTCTGTTGAAGACTGCCTGGGTCAAATATTACGGTTTCTGCGGGATAAAGTGGAGGCAGAAACAGGGTCCAAACTGCGGGAGTGCGTGGTGCTGACGAGCTCCGTGATTGTACAGAACGATATGAACACGAGTAGGCGTGCTGGGAGCGAGGGTATGGCGGAGGTGGGACAAGAAGAAGAGGAAACTAGTCCTTTGATTAGCTCCCGAGAGAGCAAGCTAAGTTTTCATGTTCATTTTCGTCTGGATAGCAATACTGCATTTGCCAATGTGAGGGAGCTACATAAGTTCATGTTGCGGGTTCGAGAAGAACTGGATGTGGCTCTTTCATCGACTGAAAATTCCAACTCGGTTTGCCGTTACCGTATGCTGCGGCAGTGCATTGACTTTGGTGTCTACACGCGTTGGCGGGCGTTTAGGTTGCCGTATAATGTGAAGGCCCTATCTTCTACCGGGCTTTGTCCTGTAGACGCTGCGGGGCTTGACCTAATGCGTTTGGCTGTTTCTCAGTTTTCACAGTCAATTTTTGTCCCTGAGGTTGACGTCGGCGCGGTGGCTCCTTTAGTGGTGCAGCATATAGATCTTTCTTTCTTACATCAGGTCGCTTCATCAGCACATCGACAGCATCAGCACCGCATGATTACAAAGCTTTTTTTTCTATTCAGGTTTTTGTTACCCGTAATACCGGGTAAGACTGCGATTGGCAATAAGGATCTTTTTGATTTCTTGTCCAAGTATGTGCCATGTCTCCCAATCGCGAGTGAAATTGATGAAAGGTATCGCCAAAATTTTGTATCTGCCGTGTTTGACCTTGCTGCGATTCAACGAGACAAGGCTCCCATAGGAATGGATGCGGAGTCGGATGCCGGTTCGCTTCGTCTCATTGCGTTTGAACAGAACACAGGTGAGGAACGAAGTGTGGAAAAATGTTGTGACCCCTTTGCGGTGCCGAGGCCTCCACACCGTGATGGTGTTCGTATACCTGTGCATGATAAGCATGTGAAGGAACTTGTGGCGGAAGTTTTTCGCTGCCTGTGCGCCGCATACAATGGTTGTGGTGGAGGTGGGATTATGGTTAAAGATAATCATGAAGCTAGAAGCAATCGGTGTGGGGTGACGCCCCCTATCATGGGGGATCGGGTGAGTGTGCAGTACCAGGATGGTATTCGGGCTTATTATGTGCAACAAAAAGTGTCAAGGTATTGCCTGAATCAAGGTCGTGCGCATCGTGGGACGTATCCGCAGTTATATCTGACGTACGCGTCAATCAAGCTCCGTTGTTACAGCAATGATTGTCATCATCGCTGTCTTGCGGTGCGCTGGTCGACGGGGAAAGAGGAGCAGGTGATGGGAGTAAAAGCAGTAGTCCTTCCCGTGAACGAGTGTGGGTACCCAAAGTACGAGAGGTTGACTCAGATACGTCATCTGCTTTTTCCACCACTTCCTCCAGAGGAACTGCTGAGACGCTACGGCTCTGTGGTACTTGGAGGGGTACAACCGCAGGAGTATGAGGAGGAGATGGAGGAGCAGGTGTAGGTGTAGGTGTAGGAAAGGTTAAAGGAAGATGGGGAGAGGCGCGTCGTTCTTTTTTTTTTGTTGTTGTTAATTGGTTTCTATTGTTGCGCTTGAACAGGTGAATCGCACTTGATTACATGAAAGCAATTAAAGAAGGAAACGGGAAAAAAAAGACTACGATGACAAGAAGAGTGGAGTCCCTATTTTTCTATTCCATCTCCCTGTGTGAGTCGTTATCCTTCTGAATTGTTAATGCCTATTGTTTGCTCGTCGGTGGGAGGCACGCATTCACATCAGGCAGGCCCCGCCCTCACTGCGGTGTGTGTGTGTGTGTGTATGAAAACTCTTCATGCATGACGCTTACTATTATTTGTTTTTGTTTTTGCGTGTGACCATTGTGATGATTTCATCTGCGCCTTTCACTGGATTTTCCTCCTTGGCTTCCTACCCATCTTTCTCTGCAGAATAAGCAAGCCACGCGCACAACACCTACACCATGAAGTTTGTCTTGATGGGGGCACCCGGCTGCGGGAAGGGGACACAGAGTCCTTTTATAACCCAGCGCTACGGAGTCTGCCACCTGTCAACTGGCGACATGCTTCGTGATGCCGTTGCAAAGAAGACCTCATACGGAATGAAGGCAAAAGCCACAATGGATGCGGGTGGGCTCGTGTCGGATGATATTGTCTTTGGCATACTGAAGGAGAGCATTGCGAAGCCCGAGTGTAAGTACGGTTACGTTGTCGATGGTTATCCTCGCACGCTACGGCAGGCGGAGCTAATGGAGGAAGCAGGCGAAAAAGTTGACAAGGTCATACTATTTGACGCCCCTGACGAGGTTATAGTTGCACGTACCAGCGGTCGCTGGCTGCACCGTCCTAGCGGTCGCACCTATCACGAAACATTTCTCCCGCCAAAGGTACAAGGCAGAGACGATGTGACTGGTGAACCCCTAACCCAGCGCGCAGACGACACCAAGGAAGTTGTAAAGAAGCGCCTTGAGACTTACCGTAAGGAAAATGAACCCTTGATTCTGCATTACAAGGAAAAAGGAGTTTTTGAACGTCTCGATGCCAATCGTCCTGTTGAGGCAGTGCGCAAATCAATCATGGCCATTCTCGACCCTGTTGCCATTCGCCTAGGGCTAAAATAATTTGTTGAAAGAAGAGATGTGTGTTCATCTACTTATAAGTAAAAGCCAACCCCCCAACACCCCCCTCCCATCTTTCTATATATATATATATGTATGTATATATATATATCTATATATATATATATATAGATATATGTATACATGTACGTCTTCTCCAACAACATCAAAGTCTAATCATTAAAGAAAGAGGACAAATGACTTGGCGATTAGGGACCGTGTCTTGCCTTCCATTGTTTTATTTTCTTTCTCTCTGTGTGTCTGTGGACCACAGAAGGTTTGGTTGCAGGTGCAAGTTGTTGTTGTTGTTGTTTTTTTTTTTTTCTGTCGGCGCAATTGTTGTTGTTGTTGTTTTTTTTATCCCTCTTTACTTGCAGTGGGGGTAGGGAAGTAAGAGGTGATGCATGCGCATCACCGTCTGTGCGGAAATGGATAACCGAAAGAGCTAGCGTCAGAGCCGGAAGCCTACTTTTTCCGTACACTTTATTTACTCCTATTGGTTGTTTTTTTTTTTTTCGTTTTGTGTTTTTGTTTGTCTAAATATTCTTCGTCGTGTCAATCTGTGTAAGTTTGTGCAGAACCAAGGCATGGGTGGGTGCGTTGATAACTCCAATAATTTCCGTTGAAAACGTACGTCACTGCTGCTTTTATGGTGCACACACTAACGATCACGAGCGATCATTCTCAGCTAAACCACTGTTTTGGACAAGCGGTGCGATTGTAACGATGATGGCACGTGGTCCCGGGAGTTGAGGATCTTAACGTTAAACAAAGGTATATTCAGTTAGGTCGCTGCAATTGATATTGAGGGGCCGAAGGCTGCCACATAACAAAAATGATGTTTTGCCTTGTTTAGGGTCTCTGTCGACCATTCCATTTTTCCGTAGTTTGTATGCATGGGCGTTCTACTCGCTCCGGATGCTTCTTACCGGCTAGCTGGACAGTGGAAATCGCACCTTCGTGGTGGATGTTATCGGCAACTTCTTTCTCTCTTTACCTCATTGGACCTCTTCCTCCATGCTTCCTTACACTCGCCTCTTTTTTCCTCTTTTCTTTGTGAGTGTGGGTCCGTTCTATTTTACTTGCCAGTGTCCGATGCTCATTCGACTCGTTTCCACTGCCACATCATAAATGCTGCCTTTTGAAACGTACGATCTTTTTCTTTCACGTTTTCCTCTCGTCATGTTTTTGGGCTGCCCGGAATTGCAGTTCCCGACAAAACAAGCCAAAACACAACAACAACAACACACGATCAAGTAATACACAGAAAGTACGAGCGATGATGCGCACTTCTGCCGCCTGCCTCAGCAAGGTTGCCGTCCTTGGTGCCGCTGGTGGCATTGGCCAGCCCCTTGCCCTCTTGATGAAGAACAATCCTTTGGTGTCTGCAATCAGCTGCTACGATGTTCGCGGTGCGCCTGGCGTTGCTGCAGACCTTTCCCACATCTGTTCTCCCGCCAAGGTGACGGGCTACGCCAAGGAGGACCTCAGCAAGGCCCTTGACGGCGTCGAACTCGTTGTTATCCCTGCTGGTGTGCCGCGCAGGCCGGGCATGACGCGT